AACCCTTTAGTTGACTTCAGGCTTCACAGAGGGGATGGAAAATCAAAGTGAAAAACTCGAGAGGGGGGGAAGGAAGAGAAGAGTGTTTCAAAGGTGTAAAAGAGACNCACAACTGCATGTCATATTCGACTGCTTCCACAGTACTCACCTCAATTTTGTTCTACCTTTGTGTCTGTTCCTTCTACATCTTTGAAATACTTTTCTCTTCCCCACCTAACGAATTTTTTCTCTTTGATGTTCCTTCCCTCTGTGATGCCTGAAGTCAACTAAAGGACTAATGACAACAATCAAAACGCCTGTCATTTGATATAAATAAATAAATGTTTCCTCGAATGAACTTCGATATTATATATATTTCTTTTGTTGAACAATCGTAAGGAAATACTTTCATGGGCTACCTTTGGATAAATGCGACGCTGTATAATTATATTTGATTTTATAAGTTTGTGGGACACGTCATCGCATGCCTGCACGCCAAGATTGGGAGGTGCGACCATACAAACAGTGGCCAATCATTAACCTATGTTTGTTTAACCTAATCCCCCGTTCTGATCATGATTAAGCTTCCTGCGTGTACACTTATCCGCAATACTCGTACTGAATAAACGTGCTCCGTGCTACACGTCTGTTTCCTTTATAGCTGGGTTATAGTTTAGCTGGTTCTGGGAGTCTAGCTAGATGTTGGAGAATTTGCCATAGAGATTTCTGAGTCAGTCAGGCTTTACTAGCGTAGCAATCGGCTACAAGTTCTTCAAAAATAATTCCATGTCATGTAACTTTTAGCAAAAAGCATTTAACACAAATATTTGTAAATGCAAAATAATTCAGGAGGATTCAATTCTTGACAAAAAGTTTTTTTCACTGTGTGGTATCCTTTAACTTTCGTCACTTTATCCTATTAAATTTTTCTGAAGTTTTGGGAAATTTCGTGTGAATTATAGTCAATGGCGGCTTTCAGGACCAAAAATTTGATTTCGTATGCCATTCCCTAATCTCATCCAGTTCAAATTCCTTTGAACATAGTAGGAAGCACATGCTCGAATCTATCAAGTCTAAGAGACGATTGTACAAATACCCACCTCTAATGTTTCCAAAGGATTTGGTAGCAGAAGTTTTCGAGATAGTAACGTAGAGAGGCGGTTTTAGAAAAGGTAGCAAATTTCGACGTTGAAAAGTAATTAAACTTTAAATAAAACTGAATGAAAGCCATCGTGATAAGCTTGTTATGTTTTCTTTATACTATTGGTCTTTCTATAGCAAATGTGAAAGCGTCTGTTACAGTCAGAAGATAATATTTTAGGTGAAGTCACGAATGTGTGTGGGCAATTAGGTAATGTATATGAATTTGATGACGAAGGAAGAGGTGAAGGAATTTGCTATTTCTAGGGAAAAAAGACTTTAGTCCTGAATGCGAAACAAACAAAATGAGGTACAATACGTCAGTGAACAGATTTCTCTTTCGGTTTAAACAGATGCGCGATTGATGGTTGGTGCTTAGGATGTGAGTCGATGGGTACACGATATATCAATACCCATCTTGTCATCCTTTCTTACAATGAAAATAGTTTGAGGCGAGACAAATTTATGTACATCGACCGAATCTAAAGACCCATATCAAAAGTAGTACAATCGATGTATAAGTTAATTTCATTAAGTATTTATGAGTTAAGAAAACATCAACTATTGTAAAGGTAAAAGGCATCTACTATTAGCAAAATTACTAGCTATTTTTATATATTTTCTCTATTTTTGACTCACTTTATTTGTTTATTAAATGAATCCTCAACACTGATTGGTTGCAATTGAAAAAGGATTTTAACTCCTCTCGTAGTAAATAGGGGACTTTACCGTCGATTTGTATTTGGTAAAAAATAAGTAAATTCATCCTCCAAATGTGTTATTGTTGAATAATTGCCAAGATTATAAAAAGACCACCTCCTTCTATCTCATTATTTTGAAAAGCCAGTTTTAGAAACTATGGTCTAACGTCAATGATAACAAAACACCACCACCCTTTCAAATGTCACTTATGAAGCACGATTAGTCATCACCTAACTCATGGCCAGATAAGTGCTAGTCTCATTCTGACTAACTATTAATATGAGGGAAAGTGCATGCCTACCAATAATGATACGACCTTGCCACCCTGAGTCATGTTTATTGGCGTTCATTCGCACCATTGGTTTGATTTACCTCAGTTTCGAAAACATTAGTGGTGAAGGCAAACGATGACCAGTGAGAATATTATTAAGGTAAATTAATAATATATTGTTATTTGAAAGCAGTAAATACAAAACAGTATATTACTCAGTGCATTTGCTCCATATAACTTTCAGTATGTTACAGGGCACGTGACCTCTGTTATCATGGGCACACTGTGTATCTAATGCTAAAAATGACCTACTGCTCAAGGTCAAATCGAGCGAAATGACCTGTTCGAGGCAAGTTTCTCGATTTACCCTTTCTAGGCGTTTTTATAATAAGTTTTTTAAAGCACAATCCAGCCCTCTCCCCCCCCCCCTCTCACATATCTAATAATATCAATCGATTGCCCCTAAAACTTTGAAATTCGAATTAAAGGAACTTAAAGGTGTAAGCATCTCAATTAGCTCTATCTAAATACTCCGATTGACCGGAATACTTTTAATTGATATGTGCTGCTTAGATATAGTTCATTCAACAAAACTGGTTAATGGCAAATTTAATTACTTGCGTACATAAACTCAACCGACCCGTTCAGGTCACAAAGTTTGGAAATAGATAGTAAGCCTTATTGTTCCCACTAATAGTTTAACGAAATTTATGTTATTATTTAGGTCAATGTTGCCCACTTTATTATACCAATATTAGGTCATGGCAATGACGAATGTTTCAGCCAATTAAATTAGATATTGGCTATGTGTCCTGAATTATCTTCCAATTGTTTAAATTTATAATTCAAATTATATATAACATAGAATCAGTTGCGAATTCAGTCAGTCAGTAAGATGACGCTTAGAGTGCCAATTGGTAAGTTGGTTTCTCTGCTTATAATTGTAAACTCGTTGTGTGCATTGACATTCCCTCTTTAAACCTCTGTTAGTGGACCTCTGGGGGCCTGATCAACCGTCTATTCTTCCATGGACCCCCTTTAACAGCGAACAAGATGCGAAAGATCTCCATGAAACTATTCATGGTTTAGGTAAGTAGGTCTTGCTTATGATTAGCCATAAAGTTTCCATTTTATTGTCCAAATTTCTATCACGCTCTAAATGTGCATGAATGACGTTAATAGAGATTAAGAAGTTTTCTGTCCTTAATCGCGTCAGTGTAGCTTGTATAGATGCGAAACAAAATCAAAGGATATTTATCCGCATAGTTTATTACTCTGAAACGCGAGAAGTAGATCGAGAAGATCAGAAGAGCTTTACTAGGTACAAGTAATAACCCATATGGGAAGTACGGTGTATATTAAAGAAAACGGGGTGAGTAAACTGTTGGAGTAAATTGGGTTGTCTGACAAAGTTAAGACGACACCAGATACGTTGATCGATCAGCTTAAAGAAAGTTAAATGGAAACTGCATATGCATTTCAGCCAGGCAATAATTTATATGGTTGTGTGGTGTATGGGAAAAGTTCTTTATGCGAAGCCATCACCGATGGGGAAAAGTTTATTTTGAGGATTCAGAAACAGCATAAGAGCTCCGACATTCTAGGCAAAATAGTGGTTTTTACTTGGCAGCAACTAAGTTAAAGTGTTAAAAATTGAGAATGTTAATTGTACTCTCTTCCGCCTCCAACTAAAACCAAAATTTACTATAAATTTAGTGTATTAAGACTTCCAATTATTGGTAGTCGATGCTGTAAATGGAATAAAAGTAGTCCCAAGACTTGTTCATATTTGATGCGCTAATAAAAGGCAAGCGATGATTTAATTACAGGATTGTAATCCCGTTTGCTGATTGCTTCTTTCATCCATTACCACAAGCGTAAAAAATGTTAAATTAAGAGATAATCGCAACTACTCCCGTCACAACAAGTGAACATGAAGACCAGTGAGGAAATTAGTCTAAACGTATATAAGTAATACACCATTACAGCAAATGAATAGACCAAATATTTGAAATTTGACCAAATAAGAGATTTTAACTCGACTGACAAGTTTCCAGTATAGTTTTAAAATATTGTGTTCTTGCGTCGGTGGCATCGTTGTTAATGGGCAGGATAGCCAATTCATCATGGTGATTTGAAATTCTTTGGAACATGCATAGTGAACGGAATAGCTTGATCCATCTGACAAATTAGCGACGGGTCATGAGCTTCGTATCAAGGTAATAGTATGATAAAAGTAGTATGCTCCAGATCGGAGGCTTGGCAAACGCTATCTTAAAAGTATTTGAAAGTTGACAAAACCAATATTCCCTTTAGGCAAGCATTGAGCGATCGATTTCGTCAACATTAAGCCTAGCTATTTTAGTTTTTTTCCAATTAAATTAATGCATTAAATACGTGGCAGACACTTTCATTATAAATCGGTAATTTAACATTTTTAACGATTATAACAAACGCCTAACTGTTGTAATGAGATCAGCCTAAGGTCACTTAGACCTCGCCACAAATATCATTAAAAAATTTTAATTTTTTATATCAGGGACCCAAGATAACAAAATTATTAGCATATTGGCGAAAAGAACAGTCAGTCAGCGAAAGGAGATCGCCAGCAGTTATGAAACCCTATTCCAAAATGTGAGTTTATTCATGAAATTTTAAATAAAATCATTAAAATATGATGATTGCTTTGAAACCTGATTACTGTTAACAGACTTTGGAAGGCGATTTGGAACGAAGTCTTTCTGGAAACCTTAAAAATGTTGTTCTGAATAGTCTGCAGTATCTTCCTGAAATGAAAGCAATCGCCATTCACAATGCCTTGAAAGTTGCTGGAACCCTTGAACAGGTTCTTATCCAAACTCTGGCTGTGGCTACAAATAATGAAATTAAGCAAATTAAAGAAGCCTACTCGAGAGGTATGTTTTCTCCAACATTAAATCGATGATTGCGGTTTTTCTTAGATAATCGCTATTGTTTATAGTAATCCTGAAAAATGCAGAACCCAATTGAAAGAGAGTGTCATTAATATTTTAGTTTCACGTTCTTGCAATATTTCGTGCGGAAATTGGAAACGTATAAATGAGCACTGCCATCATAGTAAATATTAAAGTTCGGATCATACATATCGAGCTTCCCATTTTGACCAAAGCTATTTCAATCATGGAGCTCAATTATTCCCAGTATCATTGATTCGAAGAGGTTCTGTCGACTATGTTAGTTTCTCTGATATGTTTAAACCCCCATATAGCCATGAAGATAACTTCAGAATGAGCCTTATCTTATTTCACTGTTATGAGGGCAACAGATTGGAACGATTTACGGGGTGTGATTAGGCGAAGAGTTTGAACTTCACGATTTCACGCTGTGAAATAAGCTATTATTTTGCTATGTGGTTTCAGCGATCTATGAACAAGCGTGTGTTCAAAATCTGGGGCAAACTTAATCATCACAATCTTTGCGAATTGTGCATGAAAGTGGACTTAACCCTTTGACCATTCAGAGTGCCTTTGTCCCTTCATTAACTAAACATTTTCGTAACTGCACAGGTAACACAATGCTTTAGTAGTTGTAGAAGTAAGGAAGATAGATGACATCTACCTAGGCAAACTAAACATCTACTTGTTTTAAGAAGGTGCTAACTAGCATAAAATACTTCAAAATGCTAAAATAAGCCTGTGTTAGTATAACTTAACATAAAGATTAGGCTTCTAATCTACAGAAGCTAAAATCAATTGAAGTTGTTAAGATTAACCTATGATAAATGAGTATTTTTATGTATTTTTTTGTTTTTATATTAGTTTTTAATAGTGATTTGGAAACCGACGTGGGCAAAAAGATATATGGAGAATTCAAAGCTTTAATTCTCGTTATCTTAAAGGCCGAGCGAAACGAAAGTCGTGTTGTTGATGGTGCCCGAGTAGCAAATGACGCCTTCATGATAAACAAGCTTGGTAGTACGTAAGTCTGCTATTTTCAACAAAATAACTACCGAATGGCCTAGGTATAAGTGGTCCGTTGTGAATAAGGAAAGGTTAATTAATGTAAAAATCTCATTTAAAATTAGGAAATACAGGATATTTATCTATTTCAAATGGCAGGCGTTTTTGATAGTTATCATTAGTCCTTTACCTGACTTCGGGGCTTCACAGAGAAGAGGAGAATCATCGAAGTGGCAAAAAGTCGAGGGAAAGAGAGAGGAAGGGGCATAATTATGATTCACAGATGTAAAAGAGACAGGCAGACATAAATGCGGAGAAAAGGTAATGTGAACACTGTGAAGGGGTCGAATATCACATACTGTGGGGATGATGGTAGTTTGAAGTCAGAAGTCAACTGCCGGTAAATAGGATATTTTGGCCGTATGAGTATACTTTGCCCAGGGTGCACCACGCGGACGTAAGTCTATCGGTTGGCTGTCTGTGCCACTAGGTCAAGTCGATAAGGCCCGGATGGCTGAATCGCAGGCAAAATTGCAAGAATAATCTAGAAATACAGAATATTACGATTGGAATCACACTAACTAGAAAGCTCATTGAATAGTTCTTAGAAATTTTTTGAAAGGTTTCATCGGGAACAGCTGCTAGTGGGTATTTGTGTTGAACGTTCCATGTTGAGTTTGAAATGCTTTAGATCCCAAATAACGTTCAGTAACAAGCGCTGTTAGTTCGATTGCAAAAAACAATCAACAGATCTGCT